CTGCCTTTTGTCATCTGTTGTCACTCTGCCACCCACTTGAAGTAGCTGGACACCCTTCTCTTTCCCATGTTTGTTCTGGATGTTGCTGAAGAAGGCTTTCCTGTTGCTCTCAGCATCCCTCACTCTTCTCACTTCATTCCCCGCTTTAGCCTTCACGATGCCACCCCTCCAGTTCCTTGCTGTTTGTTTGTACTCGTCCTCTGTGGCCTGGCCCTGCTTCTGCTCCCTGTATAAGTTCTTTTTTTTCTTTCAGGCTGCCTCTTAGTTTTTTGTGGAGCCATGTGGGTTGCCCCTGTTGTCTTCTGCATGTTTTTCTTGTTGGACTGTGCCCTGGAGCAGTTGTCGTTCCTAGTTGTGCTTGGAGAATCTTCTCTTTCAAGATTTCAAGATAGTGTGTGAGATTACATCTGCCATTAAATCTGATGCACCCTGACCACTGTTACCTGATGGCTCAACAGTGTTTATACCCTGTATTACATTGCGGGCAGCACAGCCTCGGGCTCAATCCAGCATTGCATCCCCTCCGGTTTGCTCCATGACCAGCTGCTCCAGGGCACAGTCATTGTGGGTATCAAGAAATGCATTCTCTCAGTTGCAAGTAGAACATACGTTTTCCTAGTCAGTGTGTGGGTAGTTGAAGTCCCCCATCGTTATAGCCCTGCCTGTGTTGGAGTCCTCCCAGATTTCATTTCCCGTCTCAAGATCATCATGAACATTCTGGGCTGGAGGGCGACAGCGTGTCATGATTGCCAAGTCAGCTTCGGAGCCAGGAGTTTTCACCCATGTGGCTTCTGTGGGGGAGTCTTCACACTTCCGGTTGCCTAGAATTTGCCAGACTCCGTGCCCTCTTGAGCACAGAGGCAGCACCTCCTCCGGCATGCCCTCAGAAACATAAACATAGAAACAGAGCGAGTCAGAAGGGGTCTCCCGGGCCATCTAGTCTGACCTCCCGCACCAGCTGGCTCCGCTCACAACATGCCCACCATGTGCGTGCCCAGCCTATCTTTGAACACCCTCACCGATGGGGCCTCAGCCACCTCCCAGGAAAGCCCATTCCACGCCCTCGGGGTCCCAACTGTCAGGAGATGATTCCTGGCATCCAAATGCAACCTGGGTTCCCTGAGCTTGGCTTGTGTCTTGCCTTGGAGTGCGTCTTGCCTTCCTCTGCAGGGGAGAGCAGGTCTCTATCCACCTCTGTGGGAAACCCCCTCACATACCTGTATGTCGCCAACAGATCCCCTCTGAGTTCTCCAGGCTGAAGAGACCCAGTTCCCCTTCCCTGCCCTTCCTATGCAGCTTGTATCCGGAGGTGACTGTGTCCCACCCCGGCAGGTGTCTGCAGTGCACAGTGCCCATTGCACCTGGCGCGGTGTGACCCCAGGCACGCCGGCTCGACCCGCCCATTGCGGCCCTCGGGATCCTAGCACTGGCATAGGAACACCTACGCACGGTGCCCCCCCCTCCAGCTGTGCACAACTGTCGCTCGGGTGCTTTAATCCTCTCCAGCTGGTTATCGTGGTTTACCGAACCCTTGTTTCCTCCTCCCTCCCATCCTATGCTCGGGCAATTTGAAGCTTCCTCCCCTTCATATGCTCGGCGTGATCTGACCCAGACTGGATGCTTCCCAGCTTCTGTTGGCTTGCCCCCAGGATTCAGGTTAAGAGCTGCTCTCCTACCGTTCCTGTGCCCGATTGCATTCTGGTTCGGGTGGAGATGGCACCGCTTGGGCAGGCCTGGCTGGTCCCAGAGGTTCCTAGCAAATCGAGACCCTCTTCTCCACGCCACCACCTCCTCCACACTGCCTGCCTCACTGGCCCTGCAGGCAGAGCTGGCAGCGTTTTGGAGAAAGCTACCTGGATCGCAGCCTTCGACCTCGCAAGCTGAATTGGGCTTCCTGGACCCATGGCGGCATCTCTGGGTGTCACTGGCACCCACATGGGCCATGGCCACGGAGTCCTCCTGTGCTCTCTACAAGGTCACGCGACACTGTGGACTGCTTTCCGCAGCCTTTGCACCAACAGGCGATTCCACGCGGCCCGTCACAAACCGAGCTTCCTGTTTCTAGCGCTCACCACGAAAGGCCTCCCCTCCCCTCCCCTCCCCTCCCCGGAGGCATGACCTCAGTGCGAGAGGACATGGGCTCGCCTTCCCTGAAGGGGTCCCCCCGAGGGGTCCTTCCCCTCTCCCTCCAAATGGCGCCTTCCTTCCCGAGACCCCCTGTCTCGCTGGCTGCACAGAGCTGTCACCCAGGACGAGCGCCCCGGGCGCCCCGCCATCTGGCCGGCCTGGCTCCTTTGCTCCTCCAGCAGCCTTGCTCCCAGGATCCAGGAGCGCGTGACCCCAAGCGCGCGGCCAGGAATGCTGCCGGTTGGCCGTGCCATTCATGAGGCAATCAGTGCAGTGCCCTGGGTGGCCCCCACACCCCTGCTGGCTCGCTACCTTCCCGACTGGTTCAACTGGTAGGAGGGGGTTTATTCCCCTGAAAAGCCCAGGGCATGAGGGATCTTCTTGGGGTTCATTTCTTATCCTGCTGGGGGAAAGCCGTGGGCTTCGCCTTCCACGGCTCCTCGCATGTTGCCCTCTGACCGGAGGAGGCACAGGTCCGTGCGCTGCCTTGCCTGCAGGCCACCGCTTGCTTGGCCACCGGGGCTCGGGCGCTCCGCCGGCCTGCCCTGGCATGTGGCTCTAGCCGGCCGGGCTAGCCTGAAGGAGTGCCAATGAATGCTAATTGCTCGGCAGCTCTCCCCTCTGGGAATGGAGGGCACAAAGGCAGCTGATTCCAAGGGGCTCTTCTTTGGAAGTCTGACTGGCCGGGGCAAGATGCAGTCATTCGGCTGGCCTCTCAAAGCCCAGATCCCCGCTTCTGAGCTTTGGCTTGTGAGCTTCCCTTTAGCACTAAGAACCCGAGCCACCACAGGGCCACCCCTCCCTGATGTCCATGCGTCAGCCACCCCTCCTGCGGAGTCACCCACTCCTTTCCTCCCCTGTTCCCAGGGCTGGGCCTAGGCCACCAGGGAGCTGGCTCAAATGCTCCTGCTCACTTGCCCCCCCAGAATTTCGCTTCCTAGCAGCGATCAGCACAGGGTCCCCCCAGGGGTTTTGTGCCCTTCATAGAATCATAGCAGAGCAGAGTTGGAGGGGAACAGAAGGCCACCGGGCCCGCCCCCTGCCGTGGCAGGACACCACGTCCCCCCCCCCCCCCCCGGAGGGCTGTCCAGATGCTGCTTGGAGGCCCCGGTGAGGCAGAGCCCACAGCCTCCCCAGGCACGGGCCCCGTCGTCGCACCGCCTTGCCGTGCAGCGAGGAAGGTCTCCCCGGTGTCCAGCCTAAGTCTGCCCCCTCTGACCTCCAGCCCGTTGCTCCACGTCCGGCGCTCTGGCACGAGCGAGAAGCGACCCGGTCCTTCCTCTTGGTGGCAGCCTCCTGGCCTCTTGTCGAGGGCGTCCTGTCCCCCCGCAGGCGCCTCTCCCTGAGCCTGAGCACACCCCGTCCTCCCAGTGCCTCCCCACAGGGCTTGGCCTCCAGGCCCTGAATCGCCCCCGTTGTCCTTGTTGTGCTTCTGCCCCCGTCCTGGGTTTCCCTGATAATCTAGCCATTGGCAGGATTATTTAGCGCAGTTAATGCAAATATGAAAAGAGATCAGTAAATCACGCCTGCCTCCTCCGTGCCCTGTTGCATCACCCACTCCGGAGCTGCGCTTCCGCTGGAGCCCTCGAGAAGCCGCTGGCCCCGGGCTCGGGCAGCAGGACGACGCTGCGAGGCGAGCAGGCCGGGCCCGGCCCTGGAGCATCACTGCACAAGTTACAGCTCCCGTGCTTCTTCAAAATGCACATTTCTCCAAATGTCATAATAAAGTTCTCTAAGAAAGAAGCATGTCTTAGGGAATCATTTACACAAAATGCATTGATTTAAAAATGTTTCAAACATATTGCAGAATGCATTAGATGGACTCATTGCGTGCCATCTGCAACTTGCGCCAAGTGAATTCCGTGACAGCACCCGGGACTCTGGCTCCCCAGGCAGGGCCAGAGCTTCTCAGCCTGGGCTCCCCTTTCCGTTTTCCATAGCATTATTGTCTTTTCGATTAGCATTATTGTCTCTGCTTACTGATTTATTTAAGCTGCTTTCAAATTGAACAAAGGAGTAATAAGAAATTATTGCAAAGATATCATGCAAGGGATTTCTTATTCTTGTTAAAGTCTTAGAGTTTGGGATGAAGCAGATTTAAAACTGGTAAAATGAGAAACTGAGAGAACCCAGCAGAGCCGTACGTGTTCATTCCTACTTCTCAGCTGCCAAGAAACAAGAAATAGCAGCGGTCGCTTGGCAGCCATCGGAGGGTCTTCCATTCTGTCTGTTCCCAGAGGGAAGGGAAATATCTCGGAGCAGTTGTGTTTTGCCACGGGGTTTTCAGGGCCTCCAGGCTGGCTTCCCATGTAAGACAGCTGTTTAAAGCATTTATTGCTAAAGCTTAGTTTTGTAAGGACACGTAGCATAAACACTTATTTCTAAAGGGGAGAACAAACGGCGTTCTGCAGGGGGGGCGTTCTGAGAGCGGGACGTGTGCCGGCCAGGTGTCTCGGCTCCCCTCCAGGCTCGTGAGTGAGATTTATTCCATCCTCTGGGCCCGATGCTCCCTGCTTTATGGGGGTACTTTCCGCATCATCTGGAGCTGCTTCAGCGTCTTTTTGCCATTGCAAATCTTCTTAAAGAGGGCTCAGCGAAAAGGCTCTGGGAGGAGGCTGCTCAGCCGGTGGCCCCGCCATCCAGAGCACGTTCCGGGCAGGCACCTTGAGGGCGAGGGCTGGGGGGTGCGCAGGCAGGGGCTTCTGGGCACGGCCGTGTGCGGGGCGTGGGGTTCCTTGGGGAGGGGGTGCCAGCGGGCCCCGCCTCCCAATGGAGGGGCCAGCCAGGGCCGTAGTCCGGGCCGGGCGGGGGCGCTGGGCCGGGAGCCCCCGCCGCCCGGCTCCGCCAACGCCTCTCCTTCCTGTCCTCCCCAGGATGATCCCCCCCACGAGCAAAACCTTCCTGGTCAACAACCTGGCCGCCGGGACGCTGTACGACCTGTGTGTGCTGGCCATCTACGACGACGGCATCACCTCGCTGACGGCGACCCGCGTGCTGGGCTGCATCCAGTTCACCACGGAGCAGGACTACGTGCGCTGCCACTTCATGCAGTCCCAGTTCCTGGGCGGCACCATGATCATCATCATCGGCGGCATCATCGTGGCCTCGGTGCTGGTCTTCATCATCATCCTCATGATCCGCTACAAGGTGTGCAACGACGGCGGGCACCCGAAGGCGGCCAAGGTCAGCAACACGTACTCCCAGACCAACGGGGCGCAGGCCCAGGGCTGCAGCGGCGCCGCCGTGTCCCGGTCCGGCTCCAAGCAGGCCGTGGGCCGCGAGGAGGGCCCGCCGGGCCACCGAGGCGGCAGTGGTGGCGGCGACGGCATGGCGCAGCCGGCGGACACCTGCCCCGGCCAGGACCCCCCCACCGCCTCAGCCTCGCCTCTCTCCCGGACTCAGGGCCCCTCGGCTTCCCAGAAGGCCAAGCGGAAGGCCGTGCCAAAGTCCGGCGGCGACCTGCCCCTGCCGGGCGAGGGGGCCGCCGTGAGCCTGGAGTGCCAGAACACGAACCGCAACAACTCCACCGCGCTGCAGGCGGCCGGCCGGGCCTCGGACTGCGCCAGGGGGGCCCCCGCCCCCAGACGAGCACAAGCCAAGCCAAGTAAGTTCCTCACGCTGCCGGCCGACCGCTCGCGGGCCAAGCGCCGGTTCTCCCTGAACGGGGAGCCGCTGGAGCACCGGCGCTGCGTGAGCGCCCCGCACCCCGGGGGCTTCTGGTCCAAGCGGAGCCTGTCCATGAACGGGATGCTTGCGCAGGCAGGCTGCCCCCCCGCGGGGGGCGGCGAGGCGACTTTCTCCAGCTCGGAGTGGATATTGGAAAGCACGGTGTGACCCCTGTGGCGTGTGTTTTTTAAATTGAGGATGCGTGGCCGGCCCGCCCGCCCGCCCGCCAAACTGTCTGTGAACTCGCGTCCAGCGAGGCCGTCGGCGCTTCCGCCCGCTGCGTCCGTGCAGAGCTGTGCACGAGCCTCTGAGCACTTTCACGTTTTCTGTTTGGGTTTTGCTTTTTTTACTAAAACAGCCGAAGGCCAATCATGGTAAAGAGCTCACTAAGGCGAGACGATGACGGGAGCCAAACATGGAGCAACCCCAGTGCCTTCCCCTCCCTGCTGTAGCACTGCGTCCGGGTCCCGCAGTAGCAGAGAGAGCACAAGCGCATTGGCAGGGAAAGCCTTTGTGGACGGGGCCGTTCTTTCCGCCACGCTAAGGCAAGACCACGTCCGGGAGCAATCCGTGGTCCCACAGAAAAGAGTATTTTTCAGGCAATCTGAGTGTCTTTTCCCCCAGTGGGCATGGTTTTGCCTTGGTTTTCGGGCAGATGCTGTACAAAACCAACAACTCTGTGTTGTTATGTTGTGTAAAATAAAATATTCCAGAAAGACCTTCCACTGGTGTTGTGGGGACCCCGCCTGAATCTCCGCACCACCCTCCTCCGTTTTGGATGGGGAGAAGCGGAGGGGGAGGCCCCCGGGGCTGCTTGTGGGGGGCAGGTGTGCCTGATTCCTGCCCCAGTGGGTCTCTGCGTGGCCGGCTGCGCGCTCAGCTCCCTGTCGGCTCCCAAAGGCTGGCGTTGCTCTGGGTCTCCGGCTGAGGGGTCCGCCGTGGGGGGCAGGCACACGCCCCGGATGCAGTGCAGGGGGAGGCCGCAGAGGCGCCGCCTTTCCTGTTCCTTCCGCAGAGGGGCAGCAGTGCTGCCGGGCATGCAGCCGGCCCTCCTCGGCTCCGCTCGGCTCGGCTGCGGAAGAGGCGCTTGCCCTGGCAGTGGCTTCCCAGGGCGGGAGCTGCCTTTCTGGGGAGCATCCCCAGCGCAGCGCCGCCACAAGAAGGAGCCGAGAGGCCCCGGGGCCGAACACGCAGGATGCCTCCGCTCCACTCCGCCCGGGCTGCTTTGCTCCCGTGCGAGCCACCGACGAAAGGGCCCGGATCCGCTGGGGGCTGCGCGGCTGGATCGGCCTTCCTTCTTGGCCACAGGCTTAATGTCTTTCTTTGCTTGTGCACACTGACCGCTTGCAGGAAGACTGCGGCACACGGGCCAGAGAAAATGGTGGCCCGCGGGCCAGGCAGGTGCTGCGTCCCAACCTCCTCCGGAAGCTCTCAAAGCAGCGGGGGGGGGGGGCTGTGCAGCCTGCAGGCGCCCTCGCCCCGAGGACGCGCCGCCTCTCTCTAGCTGGCAGGAGAGGGTCCCAGTCGGCCCGGCACGGCCTCCCTCCCTGCCGCCTGGCCGTGGCTGCTCTGCTCGCCCAGGCTGCTCCTGCAGAGGCGCGTCCTCGGGAAGAGAGCCCGGCCCAGGCTGCTCCCAGTGGTGTGCCGTGCACGGCGTCCCCAGCGGCCGGCTGCCCACCACGCGCGGCTCAAGGTGGCCCTCGCTGTGAAGGGGGGTGGCCCTGCTGTGGAGCAGCTCCAAGTCTCCTTCTCCCCCCCGGGCGCTGCTTGGGGCCCCATCAGCTGCAGCCCGGCAGTTGCGTGCTAGCTGGCCCTGGCCGCCCCCCCTGCCCTCGCGGGGTCTTCCACGCAGCCTCAGTCCCTCCCCCTCCCCCTCGGGCTTGCAGTCCTGCCTTCCGTGCAAGCCTTGCACCGTATGGCGTGGGGACCGGAGGGCCTCCCCGTCTCGGATGCCGGGCCTCGCGGCCCTTCGGCAGCGAACCAAGCACAGCCAGGGGGCTCCTCGAGGGAGACCGGTGGGTCAGAGGAGCACTCCGTGTCTCAGCTTGGGTAGCCTGCCCCACGCGCTTTCCTTCGCCGCTCCAGGTGCCCCGCTGCTCACGCCTCTGCCCATCCTCCCCGGAGCATGGGAGGCCTCATGAGGGGCCGCCCGATGCCTTGAAGGGGCCGGCCGCCCAGCCGCACCTGCCCAGCCAGCCCCACAGCAGAGACTCCAGCAGAGGGATGATGGCCACTGCGTCGTGTGCCTGGCTGCCGGGCTCTTTTGGCGCAGCCCTGCGCTGCCGGCCCGGGGGACCGGGGGGCCCCTCTGGGCTGCAGCTGGGCTCCTTGGGGAGCCCTGCGGGGGAGGCTGGAATCCGGGCCTGCGCAGGCCACTCGCCTTCCCTGCAGGCCCCTCCTCCTCCGGGCTGCTTCTCCCCCTCCCGCCGTGCTTCGGGCCACAGACCCGGGCGCATGGGCAGGCCTCTGCGTGAACGCTCAGGAGGAGCCCCACTGAGGCTGGCGGGTGGGCAAGTGGCCACAGGACGGCATCCCGAGGTCCGCGTGGCGAGCACACGGTGTGGTGTGGTGTGGTGTGGTGTGGCAACGGTGGATAGCATTCCCAGTGGAATATATAAAGGGCTGTGCTTCACCTTCAGACCTGACTTGTGAACTACGCGTGGCTGTTTTGAATGGGGGAGTTAAAGGAAAGCCTGGAACCTCCTAGAACCGGTTTGCTGCCCCTCACTGCCGTGCCAAGCTGGACCCCGCTCTTCTTTGTCAAGAGCCACGGGGTGGCCCCATTCACGAGGTCAGACTAGATAAATGCAGCACCCATTCTCGTTCGTGGCACGTGAGCAGAGAGCCACTGCGCGCCCTGCGCAGCGAACGAGGTGGCAGGCAGAGAGCGTGTGGATTTGGTCTCTTGAAGCAGTTTTAGTGCGACTGAACCAGCCGCTCTCCGGAGGGGAGGAGGAAGGCCGCTCAGCTGAACCGGGGGAGCCGGGCTGCTGCAGCCGCTTCGTGGCTGGCCAGAGGGGTCCGGGCTGGGCAGGTTTGGGTCTGCGCAGGCGTGGCTCCAGGTGGGCTCTGTGCCGGCTGCCAGCAGCGGCAGGAGGCACCCTGTCCACCCCAGCCTGCAGGCCAAGCTGCGGGGCTCTTCTACGGCCTGTTCCACTTCAGCAGTGGAGGGAGCGAGGCCCTAAGATGGCTTGCAGCTTGTTATATCAACTGGCGTCCAAGAGTTAGTAACGAACAAGCCAGTGAACAAAATGCGCCCTCGGGTTTTTTCAGGCTGAAGGACTAAGAGCCTTGGAGAACAGAAGGGTCTTCCCCTTGTCCTCCTAAGGCCCCGTAATGGACCCCATGTGAGCCGAACTGGGAGGCACGTTCCAGGTGGGCCACGCCACTCCAGTGCCCTCCACGGCTAGCCAGCAGCCTCCTCTAACGTGTTGCAGGCGCCAACGTGGACCATCGCAATGCTTCCAGATGTTGGCCAGCTCTTTCACAGATTCATAGAACAGTAGGGGTGGAAGGGGCCGAAAAGGTGGGGGGCAGCCCCTGCTGGTGCCAGCCACCAGGTCACCCCACCCCACTCAGAGGGCTGTCCAGCCTCGTTTCGAACGCCTCCTTTGTGGGAGAGCCCCCCGCTCTCGAGGCAGCTGGTCCCACGGTTGTATTGCTCTGATAGTGAGGAAGCTTTTCCTGGTGTCCAGCCTCGATCCGGTGTGCTGTAGGTTAAGTTTGTTGTTCCGTGTCCGGCACTCTGGGATCCGTGAGATGAGACCTCGGCCTTCCTCTTTGAGGCAGCCTTCGAGGTCCTTACAGAGGGATACTGTGTCCCCCCTCCGTCTTCTCTTTTCAGTGCTGAACATGCCCGGCTCTCTCGGTCTCTCCTCACAGGGCAGTGTCTGCAATCCCTGGCAAGGCCCGCGGCTTGCCCTGCCCGGCTTGCGCAGGCCGCCCAGGCGGGCGTCACCGCCTCTCGCGTCATCGCAAGGGACGCAGGTCCTTCCTTGCCTCTCCGGAGTCTCTTGTTTGCTGGGGGGGCCTTGAGAGACGACCGACCCCCCACGCGCCCCGTGCGTCCTCCCCCAGGCGTGGCGGCGCCTGGGGGCTCCGGCTTGGCCTTCCCCGCAGGAAAGCCAGAGAGGGGCTCGGCCGGGGCACGTGGAGGCCTGCACGGTCGGGGGCTGCGCGGCTCGCGGTGCTTCCCCCTCCTCACCGCCCTCTCTGTTTCTGTTTCTACCACACAGAAGCTGGCAGGAGCCCGACGAGCCCTTGCGCCCCTCCTCGGCCTCCCGGGAACGCGGCCACCCTTGTTTGCACGCGACCAAAATCCCTCCGATTCCAACTCAGTGAAGACTGATAGGGCCACTCTGCCGCGCCCGCAGGGCGGCCACACCTGGTGCCTGAGGCCCGCCGCGAGGACCCGCAGGGACGCCAGACGCCGGAGGAGCGCCCTCCGCCTTTCTTCTGTGCCCCCCGGCCCCCCCCCCCTCCCTCCCCTCCCCTCCCCTCCCCTCCCCACGCCCGGACCCTGCCCGAGCGCCACAAGCGTCTTTTTCTGGCCTCCCGCACTTCTCTTCCCCCTTTTGTACAGCAAGCGGCCCGATCTGGAGGGGGACTGAGCCGGGCCGCCCTGCCCTCCGTCCTCGTGCGTGCCGCCGCCGCTCCTGCTCCGGGCGGCGGTGTGGCGCCGGCTGCGTGCACAGACTGCCAGGTGCCCGTTGTGTCACACCGCCTCTTAAAATAAAAGTTTTCATATGAGAGTTTGCACGTGGATTCGTTTGCACGGGGCCTGCACCGGCGGGCCCATGCGCAGCAGGCGCAGTGACGCCTCCTCCTGCCGGTGCCGCTGGGCCATGCGACTCGGCGGCCGCGTCCGCAGGTGGAGCCGCAGACCGCTCTCCAGCGCCCGCTCAGTGTAGGCCAGGGTCCGGGCTTGCATGGGCCAGAACAGAAATACCCGCACCTTTGCGCCCTGCGGTCAGGCTCCCTGTGGCCCATCCCTGCAACAGCCGAGCCACCGACCTTCCTGAAAAGGGTCTCAGGGCCTTGCCGCTCTGGCCACCCCTGGCCTTTTGAGCAAGGCCATGTGAGAAGTGCCACGGCTGTGAGGAGGATGGGGCGCCAGGAGACGCCTCAGGGTGGCCAGACCCAAGGAGAGCCTCCTGGTCGGGGCCCCC